CCAGTACCACCTTTTCTTTACCCCACTGTTTACAGTCTTAGGACCAAAATATCCAAGACCATGTCCTTAGTTTTGTAAGGGAATCTTATTTTAGGAAAACTGTTTTCAGAGATGGAATTAGAATTGGTGGTGGTCTAGGAAGTAAAAGGTGTAAATAATTGATCCCTTTCTCATAACTGACATGAAATTTTCTCCTATAAAAATCAGATATTTTATCAGATTTTAATGGGAAAGAGTGACTGCATGTAATAGAAATTCCATTAGTCTAGTAAAACTAGTAGGTATAGTACTATTTTTTGTGTACCTAATGATTAAGGAAATTTCTTAGAACTTGATTAATAGGAAAGACATTTCCTTCTATTCCTTGCCACTAGTGATCTTCTGCAGTGTAACTGAGGTTGGTAGTGTTTTCCAAATAGGAGTGATATGAAAAGGAAAGAAACCCAGGAAAACTCAAAAAATTCTCCAAGGAGATGCTGCAACTCAAAAATTAATAATCATCAACAATATTCTACACAAGAGGAAGTACAACAAGGGTAGTGTCCTCTAAAGACATTGAATAAGTTTGTATTGTAGGCACAAGAACTGACACTTAGGAAGAGCTGTCAAACAGAAAATGGAGAAGGAAACACATGAAAAATTTTAACATTGCAAATAAATCAATCCATAACTCTTTAAATACTGTATTGCTCATAAAATGTTTCCTCTCCTCAAACAAGAACTGGTACCTGCTATTGTTTTGCTACCTGAAATAACATAATATGGAATCAAGTTCCTTAGATTTATTGAACAATAAATTGTAGCAATAATATTACTTACCAGAATTGGTTATTTGGAGGACTAACTAAATTTATATATGAAGGACTTGGTACAAAGTATGAAGGAAAGTAACCACTCAATATATAATAGCAAGTGCTTGTCAGAACCTGTAGAGAACCTCTGTGAAAAGAGAAATCAGTACTTCCTTCTTGAGGAAATGTAAAAGAAAAACAGAGAAATTTAGGAAACTTCCTGAAGAAAGAACTGATAACAATGTCATTAAAAGAATTTTCTAGATCTGAATGACTTCTCTATATATCCTCATCCATAAGATTGCACATCCATGTAAGGATTAACATATGATCACTATCACTATAGAAATGTGACATCCCAATCATATACAGATCTTTTTGGAGTCAATAAATTTCACTTATTTAAATTAACCTTGCCTCTCCAACTGAGAAATTTTATCCTGCTTTAAAGATTGTGGGTAGATGAGAAATGTATGAATGGGACCATCAATTTTCTGAAAGAGTTTAAGTTCAAAATAGCTTCTGTGAAAGCAGAAGTATATATTTTGTGCAATGTAGCTCTCTCTGATACTCAGATAAGAAAATATTCATTCCTGTTCTTGAAGTGGAAGAAAAGAGTGGGATAGGGAGTTTTTGAATGAAGACACGGTAAAGTGTAATTAACTGAGATGTGTCCATTCAGTTTTCTTCATATGAAATTTAGATGATGGCATTAGATTATCTCTGCATTTCTTCTATCTCTAAATGATATGAGTCTGACTGACCTCTCATTTTACTGTTAAAGAAATCTGGGTACAGAGAAAGTAGTTGTCACGCCAAAGGACATTTTATTACTGAGAGATGCAGAATTAAGACGTTCTGATTCTCTGTCCTTTCTACTTTGCGTTAAAATTTACTACAATTAGAGACTTTCAATCATACGCAGGTCCTGGTTCATGGAAAAGAAACTTACCTAGAACGATTGATCACTAGCTGGAATGTAAGGACAACGAACAGAACAGTTCTTTTCTGCCAGACTTTGGATTTTGGAAAGGTATTAACAACTAAGTTTCTTTCATCCTCTGCTGTTAGCTTTCGCTTTTCTTGGGCTCTCTTAGAATCTGAGCTGACCCCAGGATGATAATACAGACCTGGCCCCTGCAGAGGTCATTATACTTTTGAGACGGAATAATAAAGAATTTGGATAGCTTTGTCCCAGGTTCCTAGGAAGTATACTCTAAACCCTAGGTGTTTCCCGAATGATAATAGTGTCTTTTCTATTCATGATGGACCCCTAGATAGTTTATGCTAATGAGATAACTCAAGAGGGGTCTGGTGATGCCAGAAAGCCCAAGCTTGTGAATAAAGGTTTAGGGCTTTTAGCAACATGATATCAGTCAATCACCACGGATGGAAAAAGGGCTGGAGATTGAGTCACCTGGATAATGATTCTATCAATCAGGCCTACATAATCAAACAAGGAAACAAAAACTACAGACACTGAAGCTTGGGTGAGTTTCCCTGTTTGGCAACGGTCTGAATTGTCACACATTGATAAGCTGGGTGAAGAACACATATCTGAGGATGACAGAAGTTTTGAGTTTGGTCCCCTCCTAGACTTCGGTCTGTGCATCTTTCCCTTTGGGGGGCTCTGTTTTATGTCCTTTTGCAATATTAAAACTTTAATCATAAGTATACCACTTACCTGAGTACTGAGTCATTCTAGCAAATTACTGAACTTGAGAGAGTTCATGGGGACCCCCAAATTCATAATCAGCTGGTTAGAAGTGAAAGTGGCATTGGAGTCCTATGACTGATTGTGACTGGTTTCTGAAGTCTAGGTCATATTTGGCAGCCTCGGAAGACTTGGCTCCTAACTCAAGTTTGTCAAACTCTGCGTAGAGACCCAGCCCTCCTTCGCAGGAAAAAGATAGCCTTTCCTAAGGACACATAGCAAAAAGGCACTCAGTTACCCAATGAGAAGTATGAGAACCAGAAAATCTCAGTCATGGACCACTTTCAGACCATGATGGATCTTAGATCGTTAGGAGTGGGAGAAAAGAAGATTTGAAAACTGGAGAATTCTTAGACTAGAAAAGATGTAAGACATTTAGTCAAGTTTCTGGCCTACGAACAGAGTGATAGCTTATGGTAAAAAACCAGTAATTACACTCTCCAGTGTGCCATATCCTTCTTAACCTCTATTATTGTATCTGAATATACTCACTACAGAAAGTAATGTTGCTGGTACCTGTTTTGATTTATACATTATAAGCGTGGCCCCAGTTCATGTAACTTTGATATGAATTAAGGAAACAAAGAGTGTATTCTCAATATGAATAAGACAGTTTCCTAGAATACTTTGATACATTAATTTTTAATTGGAAAAGCAATGTAAGCAAAATAACATTTCTACAGTTTTACCAAGTAGGAAACAAAAGCCCAGAGTTTACAAATAATGCACCAGTACCATAGAAAGAGTGGCCAAGACGCCAGAATTCTAATACAACTCTGAATGCTTACAAACTTCATGCTATTTCCATTATGACAACCTCAATCTATTACTGTTACAGACGTTAATTTCATAGCCAAATGTAACTGACAAATAATTAGCAACATTTTAAGATTTCTCGAGATAAGTAAATGATGAAAAAATTGGATTTCGCATTTACATTTGATAAATTGTTTTGTACCATTTTAGACAATACTTTAAAATATTTATTTTTTTATTTTATTTTTTTTCGAGGAAGATTAGCCCTGAGCTAACTGCTGCCAGTCCTCCTCTTTTTGCTGAGGAAGACTAGCCCTGAGATAACATCCGTGCCCATCTTCCTCTACTTTATATGTTGGACACCTACCACAGCATGGAACAATACTTTAAAATAATCATTATCATGTTTCTCTATTATTACTAAACATTTAGCACTGTTAATATTTTGAGTTTAATCATAGTGTTATCTGCTGACAAAGCCTGGCTCTGGTTTGTTCTTGCTCAAATGACCACCACAATAAAAAGACACATTTTTTTTTACCTGACTCCTAAATATTCTTCATCCTAGGAAAGTTGTCATGATTGACCAAAGTCTAATGCTGAATGGGAGGAAACTGAGCATTCTTTGCTTATAGCTATCTGACTCCAAAGCCTGTCTCGATCAAACAGCTTTATCCAATGCTATTTAAATTTTAATTTGAAGTGTCTATAAACCTACTCTCGCTATATTTAATCAACAACTAACTGCATTTCATCACTTATGAAAGAAAGTGTCCTTTTGTCCTTCGTAGTAAATATCTATGACCTTATTTTTTTTCAATTTTATTTATTTGTTTTAATTGCAGTAACATTGGGTTATAACACTATATAGCTTTTGGATGTACATCATAATATATTTCGAATTCTGTATGGATTACATCATGTTCACCACCCAAAAACTAATTATAGTCCATCCCCTCACATGTGAGCCTCATCACCCCTTTTGCCCTCCCTCCTTCCCCCATGGAAACCACCAATCCATTCTCCATTGCTATGTGTTTGTTTGTTGTTGTTTTTATCTTCTACTTATGAGTGAGATCATACAGTATTTGACTTTATCCCTCTGACTAATTTCACTCAGCATAATACTCTCAAGATCCATCCATGTTGTCACAAATGGCTGGATTTCATCATTTCTTATGGCTGAGTAGTATTCCATTGCGTTTAAATACCACATCTTCTTTATCCATTCGTCCCTTGATGGGCACCTAGGTTGCTTCCAAGTCTTGGCTACTGCATCAAATAGTTTTGCTTGCCATTACCTTAAATAGATAGTACAATATAGGGCTGTTTTTCAACATGGGTTTCTTAAGAAGGACCATATACCCCAAACTGTAAGTTATGATTTGTGATTAGATTTATACAATGTTTCTAAAACCAATGCTCATTTTTTAGTGTCAAGTCCCTTTGATGATAGATTGTATAGGTGTTATTATAAATTGATTTTAAGTAATCAGAATAAGGCAGACAGAACAAATAGAATAAAAAACGATAACGGTTTTTTATGATAATCATGATGATAATGTAACAGTCTATTCTTTGTAATTCTAAGGGTGAAGATTTAGTACTTCAGCACGTCTATTATGAGCCTTTTCAACAGCAGTGATTTCCAACATTTGCTGCTTTCTGGTTTCTCAGGCTTAGAAGCTTATCATCCTCACATTTCTGTCCTCTTTTGTATCATATACCTAATTGCCATTATGGGTAATAGTACCATATTGACAGTAATCTGGGTGGAACAATCACTTCATGAACCCATGTACATTTTTCTTTCCATGCTGGTAGTCAGTGACCTGGGTCTCTGTGCCACCACCTTACCTACAATGTTTAAGCTTTACTTGTTCAATGTTCGTGAAATAGACTTTGATGCATGCCTTGCCCAGATGTCCTTTATCCACATCTTCTCCATGATAGAGTCAGGTATCCTACTGTCTATGGCTTTTGACCGCTATATAGCCATATCCAATCCTCGCAGATACACTGCCATCCTGAACAGTTCTACCATTGTAAAAATTTCTGTAGGGTTTGTGTTCCAGGCCATCATTAATCTCATCCCAGCCCCTGTCCTCATTAAGCATCTCAAATTTTGTGAAGCCAATGTACTTTCCCATCCTTACTGTTTACACCCAGATATTATTAAGCTTTCCTGCTCTGACCACCATATTAACAGCTTCTTAGGACTCACTGTCATTATTATCACATTTGGAGTTGATTCTGTGCTTATCCTGTTCTCCTATGTGAAGATCCTGACAACAGTTGTGGGTATCGCCTCCCAGGAAGAATGAGTCAAGGCCCTTAACACCTGTGTCTCCCATACCTGTGCTGTGCTGCTGGTCTACGTCCCCATGCTGGAAGTGCCCATCATTCACCGCTTTGGGAAGCAGGCCCCACATTTGGTTCATGTCATCATGGGCTGTGTCTACTTGTTGGTGCCTCCTGTGCTCAACCCAGTTGTCTATTGCATCAAGACCCGTGAGATACAAACTCATCTTCTGGATATTTTTAAGAAAATATCGGAAAAAGTATAATAATTATGATTTATATTTATCCTTTACTGATTTTGAGACCTACTTCTAAGATACAACATCTCTACTAAACAACAATAAATGAAGAGATATTCAGGCCAAGAAAAAGTATCTTCATCTGTTAAGTCTGCGTACAAATGACTCAAAAAACCTGGAAAGGAAAAAAGTTATGGTAAAAAGAATAATATCTAATACTATGTACTCTGTTCTACAGAATCAATAATACAAAAAGTCAATATTCTAACAGAACTCTTCTTGTACTAACAATCTGATTGTCAGCAAAGACACCCACAACTGATCAAATTCTACTCTGATTCTCCAAGAGCAGTGGTTAAAACTCACCCTTAATTTAATTAAATGTGAACTTACTTGTCATGTCTTTTTAGATGTGAAAAGTTCTCTCTGCACTTGACTGCAAGATCTCCACAGGAAGGAGACACTAAATCATTATCCAGTAAACTTAATATTTTTCAAATTGCTAGCATTCATTCGACAATGATTCATCTCTTACGACTAGACACATTAAAAACACTAGAGTAGAACAATGTGAATAAAATAGGCAAAATCACTACTTTATTAACGCTATATTAAACTGAATTCAGAAAATATCTTGGAATTAAGTGTCAATGGCAAAAGTTCCTTGCTCTTTTGCCCTGCTCTGAATGAACACGGTGTCCAGGGTCACCTCAGAAGCAACAAATACGTCTGAGTTGGTTTGTGGTCAAGGCCAAACTGTGCATAGTTCCCAGCGTCAAGCCTGTGATATCTGAGGTTCTTCCAGACACGCTGGCAATGCTCTCTGGCCATCATGGGAATATTACTTGACTTTTTACACAGTTCAGTACTGTCCTCACTTATTAAAAGGCTAGGCTATTTTAGATTACCTAGTCTCAAGGACACAGCTTGCTAGAATACACACCAGAGTTAGGAAAAAAGTAGCATTCTGCTAAGTGTTTACTATGCAACAGCAGCCTTGGAAAGTGCTTTGAATTAGTTACTTTGTTTAAATGTGACCCCCAAATTGGTATGGTTTATCATACCCAATCAAGAGTAGAGGCAATTAAGTCTCAGAGGACCATTCATTCTTAAGCATACAGCTTTGATTACCCGTTATGTTTCTCAATTACAAAGTTTATTCTTTTTACACAAAAGCATGTTGAAACTAAGAAGTTATTTTTTATTATACTGGATTAGTTTAAGTCAGTGCCCAAGCAAAGTATGCTTTTTCCTACATATCTACTTAAAAATAAAATTCCTCATACAATATTTATTAAAATATTTAGAAAACTAGAGTACAATTAATGTTTAATGAAACTGAAATTCAAATATGAAGATGTGAATTTTTTTTGAGATAATTAGTACATTAGGCAAATGAACATGTGGCGCATAATGCAACCATTTTTGAAACTCTTAAAATGTAATTTCACAAGTGTAGAAGCTCTGGATGTTTTATTCACTTCTGCATATTCAGTACTTGAAACAGTGCATGGCTGGATATGACACCAAAAGCAGAAGCAACAAAAGAAAAAATGAGTAAACTGAACTTACAATTAAAACAGTTGAGTATCAAATGACACTATCAAGTGAGTGAAAAGACAATCCACAGAACGAGAGAAAATATTTGCAGAGTATAGTTCATAGGAGTTTAGTATCCAGACTATATAAACAATTCCTGAAGCTTAACAACAACAAAACAATTTGCATATTAACAATAGGCAAATGATCTAAGAATGTAAAATGGTGCATCTGCTGTGGAAAACATTTGGCAGTCCTTCAAAAGTTTAAAAATAGAATTAATATACGATCCAGAAATTTCACTTCTAGTTATATATTCAAAGGAATTGAATGCAAGGACTGGAACAGATGCTTGTATGTCAATTTTCATGGCAGCATTATTCACAATATCTAGAAGACAGACACAAACCAAGTGTCCATCAACAGATTAAAAATAAAGGTTATTTGGTATATACATACAACAGAAAATTATTCAATCATATAAATGAAGTTTTGATACATGCTACATCTTTGGATCTTTTAGACATTATGCTAAGTAAAATAAGCCAGACACAAAAAAACAAGTACTGTATGATTCCATTTATAGGAAGTACATAGAATAGACACATTTCATAGAGATGGAAAGTAGATTAGACGTTACAAAGGGGTGAGAGGGAGGGGGCATGGGGAGTTATTGCTTCAGGGCTACAGAAATTCTGTTTGGAGTAAGGACAGAATTTGGAAGTTGATAGTGATGATGTTGCACATTGTGTATGCAGTCATTTGCTGATGATGTGATCTTATATATAGAAAATCCTAAAGACTCAACAAAAAATGTGTTGGAACCAATAAAAGAATTCAGTAAAGTTGTAGGATACAAAATCAACATACAAAAATCAGTTGCATTTTTATACAGAAACAACAATATGTCTGAAAAAAAATAAAACTACCCCATTCACAATAGCATCAAAAATAATAAAATACTTAGGAATAAATTAACCAAGGAAGTGAAAGATCTGTATAAGAAAAACCATAAGACTTTGATGAAAGAAATTAAGGAAGACACAGCAAATGTAAAGCTATCTCATGTGCATAGATGGGAAGAATTAATATTACTAAAATGTATGTAATATCCAAGGCCATCAATAGATTCAAAGCAATTCTTATCAAAATTGCAATGGCATTTTCCACAGAAATAGAAAAGAACAATCCTAAAATTTGTATGGAACCACAAAAGACCCCACATAGCCAAAGCAATGCTGAGAAAAAAAGAACAAAGCCAGAGGCATCACACTTCCCATTTCAAACTATACTAAAATGCTATAACAAATTAATTAAAACAGTATGGTATTGGCATAAAAATAGACACACAGACTAATGACACATCATAGAAAGCCCAGAAATAAACTCTCACATATATGGTCAATTGATATTTGACAAAGGAGCCAAGAACACTACATGGGGAAAGAAAAGTCTCTTCAATTAATGGTGTTGGGAAAACTGGATAACCACACGCAGAAAAATGAAATTGGTTATCTATCCATTCACAAAAATTAACTCAAAATTGATTAAAGACTTAAACATAAGACCTAGATACCATAAAACTTCCAGAAGAAAACATAGGAAAGAAAGCCCTTGACATGGGTCATGGTAATGACTTTTTGGATATGACACCAAAAGCACAAACAATAAAAGCAAAAATTAACATGTAAGACTACACCAAACTAAAAAGCTTCTGCACTTCAAAAAGTATCAATCAATAAATTAAAATGGCAACCTACAGAATGGGAGAAAATATTTGCAAACCAGGTATAGGGTTAACATTCAAAATATATACCCATACAACTGAATGACAACAAAAAACATAAAACTAAACAAAGGGCTGAGGAACTGAATAGACAGTTTTCCAAATAAGACATCCAATTAGCCAACAGATACATGAAAAGATGCTCAACACCACAGATCATCAGGAAAATACAAATTAAAATGGCTTGAGATATCACCTCACACTTGTTAGAATGTCTATCATCAAGAAGGCAAGAGATAACAAATGTTGGCCAGGATGTAGAGAAAAGGGAAGTCATGTGCACCTTGTTGATGGAAACGCAAATTGGTTCAGCCACTATGGAAAACAGTATTGGGACTCCTCAAAAAATTAAAAATCCAACTATCATATGATCCAGAAATCCCCCTCCTGGATAACATCTAAAGGAAATGAAAACAGGACATCAAAAAGATATCTGCACTCTCATGTTTATTGCGGCATTATTCACAATAGCCAAGATAGGGAAACAAACTGTTTGTCAATGGATGAATGGAAAAAGATGTGGTATATGTATATACACAATGGAATATTACTCAGCCATGAGAAAGAACGAAATTCTATCATTTGTTACAACATGGATAGACCTTGAGGAAATTAGGCTTAGTGAGGTAAGCCGGAGAGAGAAAGACAGATACTGTATCATTTATATGTGGAATCTGAAAAAACTAACTCATAGAAAAAGAGTAGAATAGTCATTACCAGGGGTTGCTGGGGGTGGAGGGTGGGCAAACTGGGGAGATGTTGTTAAAGGGTACAAATTTGCAACTACAAGATCAATAAGTTCTAGAGATCTAATGCACAGCGCAGTGATTACAGTCAACAATATTGTATTACATACTTTTAAATTGCTAAGAGACTAGATCTTAAATGATCTCATCACAAAAAAAGGAATGTTAATTGTGTCACATGACAGAGGTATTAGCTAAATCTATGGTGATGATCACATTGCAATATATAAATGTATCAAATCAACAGGTTGTATACCTTAAACTAACACAATGTTACAGGTAAATTAAATCAATTTGAAAAAAAAGGAAGGAAGAGATTTCCCTCCCCTCCCTTTTCTTTGAGCACACACATTAGAAAACTTGTAATGTTATGTTCTTTCTCCATCTCTTTGAAATTTTTGTGGATCTTTTTAAAAGCTAGATAAGTCATTCACCAGCTTTAGGACCCAGGAATGTCTTTTTCAAGGACCAGGGAAC